GAGATCAGGGCCATGGAGATGGTTCAGGGGGTAGAGACTCTTGGCCTCAAACCTGACAACCAGAGCACCACCCCTGGGACCCATATGATGGAAGCAGAGGACCAGACTGTTCCTACACGTTGTCCTCTGGCTTCCATATGCACCATGTTCCATACGCACACATGTGCATGCTAATCATAAATGATATTTTTAAAAAAGAGGACTAAAGAGAAATGATTCCATGGTTAAGAGTGAGTACTGCTCTGGCCTAGGATCTGAGTTTGGTTCCCAGCTCACGTCAGGCAGATCACACCTGCCTGTAACTCCAGCTCAAAGGAGATTTTGACTCCTCCAAACTCCATGGGCACTTGCAACTCACATGGACATAACCCCTGTCCCTCCAACTCCATACACATAATTGAAAAAAAAAAAACCCTTCTTTCTTTTCAGAGATGTGTACTGAAAATGTAGCTTGGGTTTCCAACAGTAATAGATGGGTTCTCTTATGTAGACGGCAGGTAGGTAGCAAGAAGAGTAGACCTATGTCTTCCCAGTAAAACAGTCACAGGTGAGCCTCTCTGTAACTAAAGCTGCAGGATGAACGCAGCTCAGCCCTTGTTTTTGTTAGCTCAAAGAATGAATAATTAGAACAAAGGCTGAACTTTTAGAGTAAGCTGGGCGTGGATGAACTGCCCATTTTAAGGAAAGGACATCCTTCAAGTTAGCTGGTCCGTGGTTCCTCCTCCTAATGCAGCAAAGTGTGTAATGGCTCCCTTCTCGGGAAGGCACTTAACTTAAGGATGAATGTGTTTTAGAGACGAAGGGATGCCACCACACAGGGTAGCTCCAAGCAGCTTTGAGCTAACTCTGGCCTTTATAAACTAGGCAGGTTCTCTAGGCATTTTCTATCTACCAGAGACCCCATGGAATAACCCCAAACAAATAGGATTCCTTTCCTAAAACACAAAACTTCAAAACAATCTGAAGATGGCTTACTCAGAGAAGCCATATTGTCTTCTACAATCCTTCAGTAGGATTCATTTCCATATAAGGCAACTCCTCTGTGGAAGAGGGTTGACAGATAAAAACATGGGATGCTGAGCTGCACTGGAGTTTCAGATAAACAAGGGATGACTTTTTAGTATAAGTGTTCTTTGTATAATATTTAGGCATATTTGCCTGGTGGCGGTGGTGGCGCACGCCTTTAATCCCAGCACTCGGGAGGCAGAACTAGGTGGAGCTCTGTGAGTTCAAGGCCAGCCTGGTCTACAGAGCAAGATCCAGGATAGGCATCAAAACTACACAGAGCACACACACACACACACACAGAGATATATATATATATATATATATATATATATATATATATACAAGTTATTGTTTGATTATTTGAAAGTCAGATTTTAGTGGACATCCTGTCTCTTGGCCGATGACCCTACAGCCGGTGTAGTCTAGTTTGAAAATATCATTTTAAAGACTTAGTACTTGGGACTCAGGTCCCACTCGGACCCTCAGTGTAGATGGGGAGGGGGGCATGGGAACGGTGAAGGAAAGGGAAGAGCACACCCCGTTCTTCCCAGCCCTGTACCCCTTAGAGCTTATAGGCATAAGCAGGGTAAAGACTGTCCTGAGAGATGGGAAGCTTTCTCCCTGGCCTCAGCTGGATGTGAGGGCAAGAGGTGGGCCAGAAGGGGTAGCCTCGGGTACAAACCAGCTATTCCTTCCTCTCTCCCTCCACGTTTCCTTCTGCCCTCCCCTCCCTTCCTCCTGCTCCCTTTCCTTCCCACCCCCACCTTCTCACTGCTGGAGAATGAACCCAAAGGCAGGTGTCCTACCTCTGAGCCATGCTCCAACCTTTACATTTCTCTTAAATGAGTAATCCCTTCATTTCCATGGGGAAGTTACCTGCAGACACAGAGGGCAGTCTTGAGTGAAAGTGACTAATGGGATAAAATGTTGCAATAGAACACACTCCTTTTCCTAGGGCCCACCGCCCTGGTGGTCAGTTTGGATACATACCATGCGTGGGCTGTGGGCAGTAACAGGGTAAACTTACCACATCTGGATGAATCTTTAGAAAAATGATCAAATTCACCTATTTGGAACCTTTTAACATTTCATGGTGAAATTTAAATGATACAGTGTTTTTGTTGTTGTTGTTATTTTTGTTTGTTTTGACAGATTTCAATAGGAAAACCGTTTGAGAGGAGAGAATGTGAGGACTTTTGTAGGATATTCAAGGGCCACAGCTGCAGGCTGATATTCATTATCAAGAGCTAATAAAGGGTGGTTGGTGCCCTTGATGGTCACTGAATCACAGTGACACCCGGGCTGGGATTCATCCTCCTTGGGCGTGGGGGAGGGCTAATCAGGATTACTAGAAATGAGTCTTGTTGCTTCAGGCAAGCCTGTGCATGAACTGAACAGAACCACTGGCTGGGGCAAGAGGCTTACCTGTGTAGAAAGTTACTCACACTGGCAAATAAATGTCTATCAGAATCGAAGCCTCATCAGATCCCACAGAGATGAATGGAGCTACTATGGGCCTCCGCAGCAGGTGCCGGGCTTCTGAGTTGGAAACATTGTATCTGTTGGTAGTCAGCCCGAAGGGTGGTAATAGGATCAAGTGTCTGGTGTTATTAATTTGTGCTTGTTTTCTGCTACATCAATGGCTCATCGGTGGATTCTCACGACACAGTTGACTGGCTGCCAATCAGTCAGTCAGGTGACAGCCATCCACTTAGTCTCCTTTGCACTCGCCTTACCAGGATAGTCTCATTCATTCCTACCAGTCCAGTTGTTCACCACAGTTATTACTGCGATTATAAAGTGTACATTTGTTTAATAACACGTGGGGGCCGGGATGGGAGGAGAGAAGGCTCTTCCATAGCATATGTGTACCCTTATTGTTAACCTCGTGTACCGCACATCTAGCAAGCTCCTGGTCTGTAGGGCTCACTGCACAATCATCCTTCTGTGAACTCTGTAAACCTCCTCTAGCGCTGACCACTCCTTAGGTGTGTCGGGACTGGACTTTGCACCTGCTATCACACTAAGTCACGGGGCCCACTATAAACACCGCAAGGGCAGGAACTGACTCATGGCTGCAGTTCCGGGGTCTAGCTCAGAGACTCTGCACTCAGCGGGCTTTCCAAGTTCCAGACTTTTTGTTTGTTTCTTAAACAAAGAACACAGGAGTCCCCTCCAGCAATGTGAGGACGCACGATGACAATGTGCCAGCCTCTTTGGACCCCGAGTTATGAGGCAGAGGGGGAAGCAGTATCCAGCCTGTGCTGAGCTCACTGTGATCAAGTGACAAAATGTGCAGCCCAGACCTTAAGCATTCTGGGTGGTAAGAAAGCAGAAAGATTGATGAGCTGAAATCCGAGCTTCTGGAGGAGCCAGGCCTTACATTTCTCCATACTTCCAGCAGATTTCATGACTTCACATCAGGCTTGTATTCAAGACGGGTAGAATGGAGAGAAACAAAAGCAAACGAAACTTCCCTCAGAAATACTAGGAAAAAGGGATGGGGAGGGGGAAAAGGGATGATGGGGGCAGGGGTGTGGGTGGGGAAGCCCTGGGAAAGGCTTGGTGGCAAGACTGAAATTAAAAGAAAAAAAATATTGAGGTAAACTATACTTAACACCAAAGTTACCATTTTTAATTCTGCTTAACTGTTGCTGCTGTGGCAGTGAGTAAATTCCCCTTGTTGAACCACCAGGGCTTTATTTATTTAGGTCTCATGACCAACCGGGGTCTCATGAAGTGCATGCTTAGTCCTGAGCTCTGTTTGAAGCCAAGGATGACCTTGAACTGGTCCTACCTCTACCTCCAAAGTGCAGTGGAGGCCACCATGCCTGGCTGGAAATAAATTTTTAAGAGTCTCTTTTGGAAGGCTTCACACCTGGCTAGTCACATGTCAGTTAACAGAAATGAGAAACACTTGTGGAAATCAGAACAAGAGCGATGTTCTGCACCAAGGAGGGCAGTTTCCCCAGGAACATCTGTGATTTGTTTTGCATGTATTAATGAAAGGCCAGGGCGAGGGGGGTCACTGGATACCAGTGAGCCTTTTTGAGTGTCTGAATCATCCTTGTGAAGTTTTAAACAAGGAGCACTGATTTTTTTTCCCCCCAGCACTGTGGAGCCTTTTGTATTCAAATCCAAAGCACAAAACTCTATTGTGGGAGGAAAAAGAGTCTTTAATAGAAACCCAGACGTGTCCACTTAAAGCAATGAATATAGTCTCACGTGGCAGACATACCATTTGAGCACTACAGCTAATAATAGGATGCTGTGGGTTTTCTTTTTCTTTTTTTTATGGGTACCTTTGTTGGAAGTTGTTCTAATTAGTACCACAGGGACAGACCCTGGAGAGGAGGGAGGTGGGCCAGGAGGAAGGCAGGCCCACCCAACTACACGGTGGTGGACACTCAGGCCAGAGCCTTGGAGGATCTGATGCGTGGCTGAGAGTCCCTGGCCAACTCTTCCCCAGCACATCAGGTCTCTGGACCATGAGGGGGTGGGAATTCACAGCCTTTGAAGCCCTTTCAATCCTATCTGAGTAATTATTTTTAGCAAGGGCTAAGCAGGTGGCGGGTGGCATGCTCAGCTGGGGACCGGAAGGTGTACGTGTGGGTTGCTGGCTGCTAGACACTCGTGGGGATTCCACAGCGAAGGAATGCCGGACGTCCCGGGATGGGGCCCAGGCGATGAGGTTTCCAGACAAGTCTTCCAGGCCAACTTTTAAAGGTCGGAGGAAAGTTTCTCGAGGAGTGGGGACCCGAGGGGAAGGCAGGGTGGGCTCGGGCATCTCCTCCCCTTTAAGCGGGTGGCCCCGACGCCTCCTCCGTTACCTGGAGCGGGGAGGGGCTTGGGAAAGTTTGTGTTTGTTGCTGGCAAAGCGCCGAGTGGGAGGCGCGGGCGGGCGGACGCCACGGCTCTTCCTTTTTGCTTTCGGGAGGCGGTCGGGCTGTGCCCTGGGATCGGCGGGGCCGGCTCCGGGGCCCGGCGACTGGCGGAGGGCGGGAGGGGAGGAGGCGGAGGGCCGCGCCGAGCCAGGTGCGCACGTCCGCGCCGGCGCTGGGCTTGCTCGGCCGGCAGGGAGAGCGGAGCAGGCGCGCGGCCCGGCGGAGCAGCCGACTCTGGAGCAGCCGGAGCTGGAGGAGGAGGAGGAGGAGCGGCGGCGGGGAAGGAGGAGGAGGCGGAGAGTCGCTCCCGCCGGCCGAGCATGGGGCGCCCGGCGCCGAGGCCCCTGCTGCTGGCGCTCCTGTCGCTGGGTGAGTGCG